GACATTCTGCGTTTATGCTTTTCTGTTCTTCTCTCTCTTCTTTTTCCCTCCGGAGGTCTGCTCCCTTCGGCTTCGCTTTCCTGTTGACACCCTATCTGTCTGGACACCATGGCTGCGGGAAGTTTGCACCGTCATGTGCCATCTCGTATGTCGTCGGGGTAGGGGCGCAGGGAGGTGGGGTGGGGATGTAGTGCTTTTAAATTGGGTTTCTGACATTGGTCTTATTTTCCGTTTGGAACGATTCAAGATTGATCTGGGTTTGGGCCTTTGCTGACTAGACCTACAGGTGCGCGTTCGAGCTTCGAGGTTGGTGTTCGGGGACGAAGGTTGATGCGGAGAGGTAGAATAATGAAATGTGTTCATTCAGTCATGCAATTCGTTCTTTAGTAATGCTATGTACAATCGTGCCATGTTTTCACCTGCCAGATATTACTCGTGTCTATTTAACAATACATGCCGGTCCCTTAGGGCTTACTCGTCACTATCACTGTCAAATACCGGGCGCCTTCTCTGCTGCCGGCCTACTACCTGTTTTTGCGGCGTATCATCTGGCTCGGAATCGAGCTGCGCCCTGCTTGTCGACGGCCGCTTCGTGCTGCTAAGCAGATCATCGTCATCATCCAGCAGCGAGTCCACCGACTCCTGCGTGGGCGGAAATTGAGTCGGCACGTAGAACGGCTTTGATGTCTCTGTCCGCGTTGGAGAATCGGGGGTTGCAGTTTGGCTCGATGGTGGATTGGATGATGTCGGTCGCACACTGGACATGGGATGGTCGTCCGAGACAACGAAATCAACCAAGTCAGCTCCATCGTCCGAACCGTCCGTATCCATCGCGTCGCTGTCCCGCAAGCAGTCATCGCCGAGTTCATCGCTGTTGATGCCACCTCGGGTTTTCTTGGTGGCTTTCTTGCCGCGCTTCTTGGCCGCTGGCTTTGGGCGGCGTCGCGGAGGGGATTCTTCCTCCTCCATGTCGTTGAGGCCATCGTCTATGAGGGCAGAGGCGGCCATGAATGACCTAGGTTTCACTGCACCGGTAGATACGCGTTTCTTGGGGCGGGACTGCTCGACTCCATCGTCGTCGTCGAAGAATTCTATCACGGATCTCGTGGTTGGGGGACCCTCATCCTCCGTATCACTTGCAAAAGGCGGCACCTGGATGTTTTCGTATCGGCTGGTATCCTTCTCCCCATAAGGTTTCGTGTACCGGCTCGCAGTATCCTGCTGCTGAGAAAGCTTCTTGCAAAGCTTGACAAACTTCTTGGTCCTTGCGCCATGTTGAATCTTCTCGACTGGTCGAAGTCGTCGCTGGAGTAGCGGGTACGACGTCAAGCTCGGCATCTCAGTCTCTTCGATCTTCGTAGTGCTCGCTGGCACAGAACGGTAAATCCTATCCAGCTCAGCTAGTTGAGTATCGGTCAAAACGACAGAGTTCAAAGATGGCACGTCCTCAATAAAGTCTGCCTCCGTTGGCTCCGGCTGCTTCGGCGGACGACCCCTTTTAGCCCCTGCGGTTGGCTTGCCAAAATCTGATGCCTTTGTGAACCCAAGCTCGACACCGTCCGGAAGATGGAATTTCTTGGGTGGCTTCTTCTTGGCTGGCTGCCTTCGCTTCTTCGGCTCAGGCAGCGCCGGGTTCTGAGTGTTCTCGATGGGAATCTCGATGTGCTGCATGACAACTTCTGGACGAGTGTCTCGAGGAATGATCCGGGCTGATAGGTCATGCCTGAAGTTGAACTTGCTTCCATCGCTGATAATCTTTTGCATCTCTGCATAGTTGTCCTTGGATCTGGCAAACGCCTCTTCCTCTTTCCCCCGCATGAGGAGCAGGATGATGTTTCCCGCTCGCTTTCGTCCGGTTCGACCCATTCGTTGCAGCATGCGGATAGGCGAGGAGGATGCATCGTAGCAGACGATCAGATCGACTTGACCAATGTCTAGACCTTCCTCACCAATGGATGTTGCCACCAGTACATTGTATTTGCCGTCCTTGAACTTCTCAATCGTCTCAATCTGTTCAGCTTGCTTCATACCTGCTGACCTTTTGGAATCTGCCTGGCCGACAAAGACTGTGGCCTTGATGAGTGGCTTGTGACGATTCAGTACCTGGACAATATCCTCGGCGCTGTCTCTGTATTCGCTGAATACGATGACGCGAGTTGCTGAATTCCCACCATTGTCCATGAAGTGGTTCAGAATTCGGTCTTGGAGTTCAGTCAGCTTGGGATGGCTCGCAAATCCATCAATCCGAAGCCACTTCTCCATGTTCGACATCATCTCTTGGAAATGCTCACTTTCCAGGATTTGCTTCTTATATTTTGATCCTTTCGCCCCCTTTTCCTCAACCTCACTTCTGAACTCCTTGAGGTTCTCGTAGAACGGCCTCACTCCGTGAAAGTTCAGTAGTTTGATCGTGTGGGCGAGGCTTTGAAGAATGGAGAAGATGGACCGCATCATGCCTTGCAGTCCCGGGTTGGCACGTCGGCCGACATTTGCAAACCAATCCTTCTGTTGTTGCATCAAGCCATATGCCGTGATAGACATTGGGTCTCGTCCGTAGTAAATGTTTTGTTGCGTGAGCTTGTCCATGAGGGGCTTCAGGGCTTTGGTAAAAAGGTCCTTGATCTCACACATCTCGTCGGACGGATCAAGCAAAACCTGCTCGACATTCCTTTGGTGTACGTATTGACGAATATCGATGGACTCCTCCGTCCGAATCTCGATGTGAGATATGCCGAGATTGTCAATAATCTCTTGCACGGTCTCAACTTTGGAGCCAGGTGTGGCTGTCAAGGCCAAGACACGGAAGTAAGGATTGAAGCGACGCATGAGCTTGACGACCTTGGCGTACGCGTACTCGCCCGTTGCACGATGCGCTTCGTCGATTACCAGAAGGACGATCGACTTGGGATCTGCATAACCATGCGACAAATCGTTGGCCAGAGTCTGGGGCGTCATAAAGAACACTCGCTTGGATTGCCACTCATCAACCCTAAGGGCCGGTGCTGTGTCACCTGTTAGAAGCGTCGTTTCGGATCGTGCAATTCCAGCAATGTTGAAACACGCGTCGACTTGCTGGGCCACCAAAGGCTTCGTAGGGGCCACGAAGACGATTTTGGCATCTTTGGTCCACCGAAAGTAGTTGAGCATGACAGTTGCAGCGATAAACGTCTTGCCAAGACCAGTGGGAAGGGCAACAAGCGTATTGTTGAAGAGTCCGTTCTTGACAATGCTGAACTGGTAATCTCTCGTGGCTCCAAGGTTGGTGGGATAGAGCCAAGTTTTCATGGCTTCGCGGTCAAGGGCATGATGGGCAGGTGGTTCTTGCGGTTTGTCTCCTCTATAGACCCTACCGAATCCAGATTGGGCTGCTTGAATTGGAGAGTCATCTGCCACTCGGCCACCGAGTAAAGTTGTCTGGCGGTAAGTTGCTGAATTTGTGCGAGCGAGCCCGTTCACCGTCCTTGGCGCTGGAGCTGCCGGCTTAGATGCAAAAGCAGGCTCTGGCGAGGAAGAAAATGCATCCGAGGGCAAATCATCAAGCTCGTCGCTGGCGGACTTGTTGTTTGTTGCCCTGGAGAAGCCCTGGTCCGCAAGTTAGAACACATAGGGAGATGGAAAAGGCAGCAACAACCGTCCCACCTCGTGGAGATAGATGACTTACAGAAGCTGTGGATTTGGACGCTGCCCTGGAATTGTTGCCGTATGACTGGCGTGCTGCATTGACCCGATTGAAAGACGGGACCAGAGCGCTATTGGTTACACTATGGCGGATGTTTGAGGGGTTCTGTGAGACGAGAACCGAGGAACTTGAAGGGCCAGCCTGTGTCTGGCTCAGGGCCTCAAAGAGGTCCTCGTCGGCAATATCGTCACCGTAGTCGTCTGAGTCCATAGCGACTTTTTGGTACTCGCCCAAATGGGCTGATGGATTTGAGGTAGTCGGTCAATCGGTCGTTGTCATGTCAAGATCAGGCGCCGACTTGAAGCTGGCGCTGGCGGTTGAAGCTGGCGGGGTGGCCACTTAGTGCTGGCCTCCCGATGCGCGCATGGAGACGCGTCGTTGACGCGAGCGCATATCTGAGTCACATGGATGCTCACATGACTTGAAAACTTACATAATCAAGATAAGGTTCTGCGCGCAAGAGCCACCCGGCCGTCAAGCTCCAGACCGGGCATCCATTGTTGTAAGGTGGGACCAGGGACCTTTGCTGACCGAACCGCTAGGCACCTGTAAGGTAGGTACCTACGCCAGACGCAGCAGCGCCTTTGCTTTCCAATCAGAAATTTTCGTTGCTCAAGGTATACAAATCGTATCGCCCAGGTGCAAACCGCAAGAACAAACCTTTCTGGTGTTACTTGCCTGTGATTCACCACAGACACCTGGGAAGGTCCCGGGAGAGGTGCCTGTTGCCGGAGCATTCTGCTGAGACGTGGTGGCACTAAACCTTTTCCAGAGAGGTCGCATGCAACCTGAGCGTTCCTGCCTGGTGGCCTGCTACCTTGAGTGGTGGGGCTGACTCAAACGTCACCTTGCTCTTCGCGACAGACGAATTTCTTCACCACCTTTACAGCTCTGCATCACTCCTCAAAAGTCGCCCACCACCTTATAAGACAGGGTCTCTTTGGACAGGACCGCAACCGAACTCTTCCTTCAGATTTTCTTTGTCGATTACACGAGCTTCTGCCCTCTAAAAAAAAGCATTAGGTTCTCTACTTCTAACGGTCCACGAGGTCTGCGCCAGGTCCTCCGTCCTTTGTGCTCAGAAGCTTTTCGCGCAACGACCCCGACAACAGACCCTCGCTCAACGACATTGAATCGGCTGCTCTACACCAAAACGATCGCTTCTCTTTCTAATTGAAAGCGCGAAAACATCCATACAACTAGCTCACCCTTATTCGGGGAGTGTTGAGCGTCACCACCTACCCCCACGCCGACCTCAATACCTACATCCACACCAACGCCTACACCTGTCGCATCCCTACTTCCATCCTACCGAAACAAAATGGCGCCCCCTAGAGCACCGAGGGCCATGGCTTCTCAGCCTGCGCGCGAAACTCGCAGCTCTACGACGGGTGCAAAGTCGCGCGGCGGCGGCGGCATCCAAAAGCGAAGAGGCGGCAGGACAGCAACCGACAAGGACGGCGATCTCGACATGGGGAGCAGTGCTGGAGGAAGCGGCCCACGCCGAGCAAACAACAGATCATCTGCGGGTGATTCCAATAACTCGCGACCGCAAAGACCCACAAGATCTGGCGGTCCTCCCACCAAGCCGGGCTCGAAAGTGCATCAAGCCATCGCCCGCCATCTGGACACTGGAGATGGAGCGGATTTGGTATCCAAGAGGAGACCTCAGAGCACAGGTCTCGTTTGGTTGAGTGTTAAGGGTTTGAAAGAAAGCAAGGCCGCGAAAAACGAGGATGGCGGCCTGCGGGACCTACTCACATTCTTGGAACGGAAATCTACGACCCTAGCTGGTCGTCGAAAGACGGTAGTCATCAAGAAGGTATGTCGTTGTGATGATGTGAGGGCTCGAGGGAATTACATAGTTATGCCGAATGGTCCAAACTAATCAAAAAGCCATAAGTCAGCTAACTTTCTATAGTCAAACATAAGAGGGGACATTGTCAATGTTGCAGCAAGCAAAGAGGATGCGGAGGAAATTCTCAAAGTGAACACGTTCACCTTTGCCGGAACGCCTTTGGAGATCACCGATAGCGAAGGTTCCCTCGCGGAGGCAAATAAGGCTTCGGTTGCGGCTCAAGAGACCAAACAGAAGGTCACCAACATCATGTCCCTCCGCTACGACATCGACAACAAGCTCTTGAGACTCGACGCCCTTAACAAGGACGAGGGACTCATTCAGATGGGCATGTTGGAGTCAAAGGACAGGGCCGAGAAGCTATTCAAGGTCATGATGAGAATTTGCGATGATCTTTTCAAGACGTCGCAAGCCAAGATCGATGCCATCCACAGCATTAGTCTTGCCAACAACGGCATCGACACCGTCATTCAAGTCGAGGACCTGGCAGACACATTCCCCGACCTCATGAACCTGGACCTCAGTGGAAACCAGATTGCAACCATCGATGGCTTGTCAAGGTGGAGGGGAAAGCTTCGCAAGTTGGAGACCCTATACTTGACTGGGAATCCGCTTCCGCTTGCAGATACCAAGGTCATGGCGGAACTGCTGCAGTTCTTTCCAAAGCTGCATAACATCAACGGCGAGCAATTGACGCCGGAACAAATCAAACAAATCAAGGAAGCGGGACGACCTCAGCCAATCCCTCAACGCGGGCCCGATTTCCGTGACACTAACGGCATCGGCGAGGCTTTCCTCCTGGAATTCTTTGTCGGCTTTGATACCGACAGAACAGGTCTTCTCGCGAAGTACTACGACGACAACAGCCAGTTTTCATACGCCGTCGACACCCACTCACTTCGCGAGCCGAATCTGCCGCCACCGCTACCGTGGGCATCCTACATCAAGCAGTCACGCAACCTGCAGAAGATTACCGGACCGGCTGCCCGAGCTGCCAGACTCTTCACTGGCAGGGAAGCTATTTGGAACGTATGGAACGAACTCCCTGCGTCAAAACACCCAGACATCAAGGCCGACATCAGCAAGTTCATCATGGATTGTCACATGCTACCTGGTCTCGCAGACCCAACCGGACAGCCTGGCGGCGGTGTCGACGGTATGATCATCTGTGTTCATGGCCAGTTTGAGGAGTGCGACAAGGACGGAAAGACGGGACTCAGGAGCTTTTCTCGCACATTTGTTCTCGGACCTGGACGACCCGGCGCGAACCCCATCCGCGTCGTTAGTGACATGTTCAGCCTGAGAGCATTCAATCCCCTTCCCAACGTCTTCGTCGCCGAGAACCAGGCACCTCCTGCCCCGGAACCGCAACAACGCCAAGCCATGATTGCGGAACTATCGAAACAGACGAACATGACTCCCCAGTATTCGGAGATGTGTCTGTCCGACGTTGCATGGGACTTTACAAGGGCTTTGGCAGTCTTCAACGAAAAGAAGGTAAGCGTGCCCGAATCTGGAATATTCGAAAACCCTATCTAACTTCGTCTAGGCCCAACTACCTGCGGAAGCCTTCGCCAGTGTTTAGAGAACGCTGTGCTCGTCTCAGTCCATTCTTCAGTCCTAAAGGCGACGGAGGACATGGATGTATTAGGAAAGACGACGATGGGGCTCAAATGCAACGTTGGCCCTTTGGCCCACCCCAGTTGATTATCTATTGAAGGAAGGAAGAAGGGACAGGATTTTTACTCCACACAGCGAGGATGTAAACAGTATTGGGTATGGGTCCTTGCGAAATGCGCAGGACTCGGGAGATCGGAAGATAGGAGGAAACCAAATATTTACTCAAAGCGTGAGGTGGAACAGCGACGACAAAAAAAAAAAAAAAATTCACCACCAGATCGGCTTGGCAAGATTTTGGGATGGTTCCGAAGCGCAATGGTATATATTCTTAAGAGCGGGACGAGAAGAAGGACAGCGTCATAGCGGCAGCGGCGTGTTTTTGGTACTGGAGAGTCGGTGTTAGCATAGCGATGGCGGGTATGGGAGGAAGTGTTCAATTCAAAGTCGTAAAGCGTCCCGCCAGTTCACGGGCTCGGTGAGGAATTTCTCAGCCTACTACCATCGTGAATGTGATTAAACATGACTCAAATTGAAACCAAAGGGCAGTGAGAGCAAGAATGGAAAAAGAGCGTCGTGTGCGCAGACGTTCAGGCGCTAAAGCACATATTTTGATCGCTGAACGGTGACGTTCCTCGGATGGACGGCAGGCTGGCTGAAGATCAGCAGAGACACGTTCATTGTAAGGCTGAAGAGCAGCAGCCATTCCCGCGGGCCAATGGGCCACGGCTTAGGTCATTATCATGGAGATTGAATTCCAGAGGCACGCGCGGTGTTGCGAGTTGGATGGGTGCGGATGACGCTGGGTGTTTAATGAGGAACTGCGGTTGTGGGTGCGTAACGTCCCGTCCTCTGGCATTTTTGGGGGAGGGGGCTTTTCGGATGGGCTAATCGGATCCGAGAGAATATGTGTGTGACGATGGCGTATGTGATATTGGGCCGAGAGTGATGGCGGCCTTTTCTTTTGATAGAACGAGGAAGATTAGATGTTGTTGCTGGGCGCTTATTGTCTTGTAGATTCTGGGGTTGGGTTGCGGCGCGAAGATGCGTCACATGCGGTTGTGGTTTATTCGATCAGGTACCTACCGTTTGGCAGAAGCCACTAATTTAGTGCCGGCGGGTGCGCAGCAGCGGTGATCTTGTCTGCGACCGTTGTGACTGGCTTGTCTTGTTTCCATGGGAGTGGTGGTGTGGTGGTGTGGTGCGTAGTCAGCAGCGTTGACGACCCGGGATTGGGCGGTTTGGTTGCGTCTTTCTGGCGATTTGGAGATTTCATGCATGGTGCCGGGAGATCCCTTCCCACACCAACCTATTCGTTCTTTATTTTAATTTCTAGCGCTGGCGGCGACGGCGGCGGCGAGTTGGGGACCCCCCTCCCTCCAGTGAGAGTTTATTATACTACTCGATTTAGAAAGTGGGATTACCTCAGCCTGGGTCTTTTTGCGCAGGTGATTGTTGAACTGCAGGGGAGCCGGCGGTGTGCTGTGAGATGCAGATGATCGACTCTGTCAGGTTGAATGCGTTTGGATGGCCCTGTGCAGGCGGAAGAAGTGCGAATCCACATGTCTCGGGTTTTCTTTCCATGTGCTTTACTTTTTGAGAGTGGTGGTGGTGGTTGGTTGGTGCTAGCTTATTGAATCGCGCGCGCGCTGGTCTCTTTTTTGATGCGGTCTTGGCTCTTGTCTTGAGTAAAGCTCTCTACCGGGCCACATCAGCCGAAAACTAATGTGCACCTGGCTTGATATGGCTGATGGCGGTTCCAGCGGTTTCTCTGGGGATATTAAGCCTTTGTGTGTTTTCTTCTTTCCATGAGGGTGGTGTGGGAAACGGGCGGGCAAGATGTTTGTAGTTGAGATGATTTATGCTCTATGGGTTTGTCGGCAACAGGATTGGATTGCCTGTGGGGGGAGCACAAGGGAGGTTTGAAGGAGGGGAGCGGGGAGCAAGTTCATCGGATATACAAGAAGCACCGTACGATCAGACCGGTTCAGAGTTGCCGGGAGAAAGGGCAGGCCTGCCGTCCCAACGGCCGGTCTTCCTGTGTCAGGCATTGCCCTGAAGGCTTTTATTTCTTGACACTGACAGACAGGTGAGGGAACGGACGGCTCGGCAGGAAGGGCAGGCTGATTGCAGCTGGCAACAGGCATGTTTTGTATTTCGGGAAGGGGAGGAGGGGGCGATGTTGGCCACCGGAAAGGCTCACCCCTTCTCTCCTTCGGTACCGTTGGAAGTTGATGAATTGAATGACATTTATGGAGAGTGCCTGCTGTGGTTCTTTTTTTGGGCAGGGTGATTGGGGGCGGCGGGTTTCCTTGCTCAGCCATGTTCCGCGACGCGGCATCGTCGTCAACGGCAAACGGCTAACGGGCCAGGCGCCCCCAAGACGATGGAGCGAGGTGAGGGGATGCGCCGGGACGATTGTTTGACCGTTGCGGCGAGGCCCTGCTTTGAGGCCTGAAGGATGCAAAATTGCTCCTGGATCGCGGAGACCAGTGTTGAGAGTTGAGAGGGAGCGGCGGCCGGCCCCCCTTCTCCCCATCTCCGTTCCACAGCGGGCAGACGTTCGTTGTATCGCGTACAGTGGAATGGAGAAGAGCGCGGGACGGGTATGACAAGCAGAGAGGGGCCAGAGATCGAGACCATCAGAGGGATGGCATCGGTCACATTCAGAGATTGATATGGATGGGGAGGGGCGCGGGAACGCTTAGGCATTTCTGCTGGTGTCAGTGTCAGGTTGCTGTCTGTTCCTTCGGAGCCGGACTCGATGTCATATTTTTTCAAATCGGGTTGTGGCTCCCCCTTCCCGGATCGCGAAGAGGTTTGTGTGTTCTATCTGGCTTGGATGCTAGAGAAGACGAAGAAAAAGCCTTGGCCCATTGAGTGTAGTATTGGCAGATGGATTAGATTTTCGAGATTCGAAAAACAGATAGTCCCGGATCGGAGTTACTCTTTGGTCGACACTCAGACTCAATTGAGAGTAGCATTGGAGCCCGACACGGTCGAGGCTTCCCAATCATGGCCGTGGCCGGTGAAAGGCTTACATGGCCCCTTGTCACCGGCGCCGACCGAGAAGGATTTTGGACATTTCAAGATGTGGCCGTTCTTTTCGTGCGCCTGGTCACTCTCTCATATTTTTCCATGTGCGTATTCCTTTAGAACAAGCTGAGGGAAGCAGGATGAACTGCAACCTGCACTGCAGCACTGCAGTTCAGCTCAGCGGCGCGATTCATCCATGGGGCGAAGGGTTTCTTAAAAAAGGGAAGCTGATCGGCCACGGATACTGGGGGCCGAAGAAGAGGGGATCTCGAGCAGGGGCGCCATGCCGAATTGCTGCAGGTTTACGACCTTTTTCGTCGAATTGAGTGATGGCGGCTGCAAGGCGGGCTTCAGGTGAAGTGCGGCGTGCAGCACAGGAAGCTGTGTGCAGCGTGCAGCGTGCAGCGTGCAGGAAGCAGTGGAGGAAGAGCAGCCAGATTCTGGCGTGAGTGGCTCAGGGGCCGGCGGCGATGGACGACGGTTGCTGCAGGGGTTCACTCGTCTAGCGCGTTTCAGCCAGAATGCCATTCGAGGTTCCCAAAGTTGCATTCTGCGTGCTGCGTGCTGCGTGCTGCGAACGGAGTACGTACCCCCCGTTCCAGCGCCAAGGGCAGGGGAGAAACGCCCAGCGTTCAGTTGTTTGCTGCGCGTCCCTCCTTCTTTCTCTTGGCATCTTTTGATTCGCGACACGCTGGCTGGCTGCTCGCCTCCCTTCCTCCATCCTCAGGAGTCCCTCGACCAAACCATGGACGACGACGACGATCGAACAGCGGACACCACCCCGGCTTCACTGCATTTTTCTGCTGCTTGTTCCAATTTCAGCCGTCAGCACAAATGCGGCCTAGTCAGCAACAACCGGGGCCGAGAAAGCACGCAAACCGACTCCGTACCGCGTGGCCGCAGCTCGCGCTATCCCCCAATCTGAACATTGAGCGACGCAGTCTGTCGCCCATCATCTTGTCCAACACCGGGGCGACAAGCATCATCTTTGATTGCCCTCCCCAATTTGCAAAATTGCGACCTGCTGCTGCCGCTGCTCTCCCGTGCCGGTGTCGCGCTCATCTTCTTTTCTTTCGGATTCTTCCTTTCCCCTCCCCCCTCCTACAGAAGGACCCCCCAGGTGTCCCGGCCACGGCCCATTGCGGCGTCCACCGGAAAGCCCTGCGGTACGGGTAACGGATAGTTCAGCGCCCAAGTTTGATGAGCCGTGGTGCAGTATGACGCCAGTCTCTCGCTGCTGGAAGCCTGAAGCCTGTCGCTCACGCCTTCGCTTGAGCTGCCCGGTGTAAGGCCCCCCTCCCCCCCTTCTTGGCCGGTTCCCGCTGCAGGCATCCCGATATTGTTTTATTGAAGGTCGAGGACGGGAAGCGGGCGTCCGTCCGTGGATTCGCTCGTGAGCTGGTCTTGGCCCAATGGCCCCTTCGGATCTGGCACTCTCGTCAATCGACTGTTTGCTGGGAGCCTGGGAAGGAGATCGTGGCTTTGGCTTAATTGCTTTCATTACCTCGTGGTCCCACGGCAGCCCGTGACGGCTTCCCTCGAGCATAGCGACGCGAGTAACGCGAACGAGAGCCGGTCACTTCAGCTCAGCAGCCAAAGCCAAGCAAACGCGTGTAATTAATCCCATCTCTGCTTTGGCCAAGCCAATCCACGAGGCAACGGACGGACGGCGGATCTTGCACTATGGATGCCATCAGTGCTGTCAGTCAGCCGTCGTCTGGTGTGATCTGTCCGTCACTTTGGCCGGCTCTCCCCATCCTTTGACTGCAGAGCAAAAGTCTGTCCATGTGCCGTCAGACAACAGACGACCCGGACACGAGCCACGAGAAGCCTCGAGCCTGAGCCTGGAGCATTGGCCGGCACGAGGCCGACGAAGAAGAAAACGAGTACGCAACGGCGTCTGGCTTACCTTTGCTTGACTTCAACCGGCGC